GGCCATGGCATGAAGGGAGCAGATTACAGCTCTGCCCCAGGCCCCGGACCTGCACTGTCACTACCCTGTGATCCCAGGCCCTACCCACCCTTCCTGTTCCCAGACACTGCTACCTGCCCGCCTGCGACCCCATCCCATCTGCCCACCTGCATGCCCTGCCCATGTGGGTCCCGGGCAAGTCTCCATGGAGTTGCTGGGATCACTGGGCAGTGACAGCCCAGGGCTGGGGCCCATGGCAGAGCTGTGATCTACTCCCTGCGCTCCCCTGCCTGTGGAGCCAGTGCCTGTCACAGGGGCATGCAGGAATCGGATCGCAGCTCTGCCGTGGGCCCCGGCCCCATGCTGTCATAGCCCTGTGATCTTGATCCCAGCCCTGGGCCTAGCCCCATCCACCTGTCCCACTCCCAGATGCCACTGCTCGCCCACCTGCAGCCTCAACCCATCTACCCAGCTGAGCATGGCGCAGAGTTACTTGGGGAGTTTTGGCAAGCTGTTGCAGATCAAACTAATTGCTCACCCCTGGCCTAAGGCCTAATAGCTTTAACTGCTGTTATTTAACAATTTGAAAAGGCCTTCCCCAAGTAGTGGAATCTGTGCGGGCCGGGAGCGCCCCGAGCCCTTTTTCGCGCTGCACGCGGGCTGTGGCCAGCAGCCCAGGCACGCGGGGGCGGAGAGGGAAGGCCTTCGCTCTGGAATTAGGCACGGACGCGTATCGGTAGTTTAAAAGATTGTTTACTTACACTGAGATGGCAATGGTGTAGGCTGGAAAGCTTGATTAAGTTGCAGTTACAGACAGACACAACACAGACGGTCTCGTGAAGGTTGCTAGGCTCCACGGTGCAGAGCTCCGGATGCTCTGGGTGAACAGGCCACCAATGTAGAAATCGTAAATACGTCTTATATTAGTCGCGCTCGAAGACGGGAAGAGGTGGGCGGTGGATCAGGCCGCCACGCTCCTCTGGATCTCACACAGGGTTTCTATTACCCTGCCGTGTACCCAGAGTCCCCACGAGATGGATGTGGAGTCCTCTTCGGCTTGGGGGGAAACTGCTCAAGCCTCTTATACGACTAACAGGCCAATCGCTAGCTGCCACGTGTGAATAATTTAGCACTAGCCAATCACGGGGAACGAATTTGCATACCGGTGGCGGGAACTCTTTTGCACCGTGCATTCCTCTTGCAGCTCGAGCAATGCACTCTGCAAAAGAAGCTGCAGAAAAGGCGGGAAACTGGTCCCTGCACCGGGGTTTCCTCTTGCTACAGGAAACTCCCGTGCAATGCTCTGCAACTTAACGTGGATAATTCTGATGCCGAAGCACACACACACAATCATGCCTTTTGGGTCATGACAGAATCTAGCCCTGTGATGTCCCTCAAAGATGAAGTTGGAGAAAACTGTTAAGAGGGAAGAGATAAAAGGTTTAAGAAAGAAGTTCAAAGAGGTGATAATAAGACTTGGTAATGGGGAAGACTGGGAGAAACTAGCATCCTTTGTGTACGCTCAATATTGCCCTTGTTATCCAGTTCTCCGATACTACAGCAGTACCTGTTTGATAGATACCTGTTTAATTTCCTTGCCTGTTGCAGGTAAAAATCAGGAAGATTTTGTGGCGAGAGTTGTTTTTGATTTGGTCAGACAAATTAGTCCGCTTGTAGCATCACATGCATATGGCTGTGCTGTTTCTGGTTCAGTAAGTAGCCTGCACAGAGTAGCACGGCATGTTTGATGGTACATGCTTGGAATAAATGCTCTGTATACAAGGAAGAAGCCTCCCCATGGGTCCAGAAAATTGGTGATATAGGTGGGGACATGGCAAATAACACTATCACTGCTTCTTCTTCCCGCCACTCTCTGTTGCCAAATTTCCAGACCCATGGGAAAGCTCCCTTCCCAACTGCATGCCAGATTGGGCTTTGCAGTTGGGTTCTGGTAGCCCCACAGCCAGATTTGGTGCACCAGGTCTGATCTAGCATATGGGACATAGACCAAGCATACCAAGTTTGGCCCAACACTGGCTCAAGATGTTCATGCTGGATTGTACCCAGCATGCTGACTCTGGGACCATGCATTGGGTTGTACCTAGCTCATGGCACTAGCACAGCTGGGTTGTATCTGGTTCCTGGCTCCAGTACCAGCAGCATCAGGCCTGGCTGTGCAGCTTTGGTTCCAATGCTGGCAGGATTGGGCCTACCTGTGAAGCTCTGTCCCCAGCATCAGCATGGCCCGATGGGGCTGGCATGCAGCTCCAGCCCCAGTGCCTGCATGGCATCAGGGCTGGCACACAGTTCCCAGCCCTCGCACGGCTCACAACCCCCAATTCTTCAACTGTCCAACCCCAGCGTGCAGTTCCCCAGCCCCAGTATACAATTCACCAGCCCCCCAACCCTAGCACAGCCCTCCAGCCCCAGCAGAAGACCCTATATCTAAGGTAAAGCTTTTTTTCCTTCTTGGGGCTTTCTCAAAATGGGGTGCATGCTAACTTTGGGGGTGTATTATATGGGAGAAAATACAGTACAACCCAGCTTAATATAACACATTGCACAACACATGCAATTCTCAAACACCTATTCTTAATAAGGTCTTAAATGAAAAATTTCTAAAATAAACATTCTTTTCTCAGACCTAAATTACTGTGATTTTGTTCTACTGGCTGTGCTAATATGGATTGGAATTTTCCACCATATGGTCTGTTTTGGCAGATTTATTTCATTATCAGTTTGCTGTATTTACTTATTAGAAGCCGGAATCACAGTTAATGCAGGTTATGAAATGAAGGAAAATGCCATCATTTTAGAAGAATAGCAACTGATGGGACCCTCACTTACTTCATATTTATGACATTTCTAGATACAGCAGTGACTCTGTGATGGTCAGCTTTGGGTAATAGCATTATGTACTAGTGCTTATCTTGCATTGCTCTTAAGTAAAATTATACTTTTCTCCTCTTGTTTTGTCTCTCTGAGAACCTATATGCCTTATGAAACCATGGCTCTGCTGAAGTCAGTTGATTTTAGTGGACCCTTTTTTCCTAGTCTGCATAGCTCAGGAGAGTACAAAGACTTTTTCATGTCTGTACCCTCCATCTTCCTGTTTGGTTGGTTACTTTACATAATTTAAAATGAACAAATTAAATCCTCCACTGCCCTGTCTCCTCTAGCACTTCCTGGGATTAAGTTTATGGCCTAAATTGAATCCTTGACTATATTACATGTATAAACAGGTCTGAAAACTTGGTTTTAACCCAGTTGTCCACACCTCAATTAAAAACCTAGTTCTTGTTTATACCGTACGGTGGACTTCACGTGTATTTTGTAACCAGGCTAACATATGAGACTTTCCATAGATGAGATGGACAGTTTTATAACACAGTTAGGATGCAGTGGGTACATCTACATGTGTGCTTTACTGTGTAGCTGACAAATTAGCTCCGCAGTAAAGTGTCACCATCTACACATGAGCCTGTGTTAAGGCGCAGTAAATTAATTAACTCTGCTGTAGATAGTACTGTCCAGGACAAGTTACTCCCACAGTGGAGTAATTACATGTACTGAAATGCACGTGCAGATGGTGGAAAGGAAAAGAGAGAGACCAATTTTCAGCCTAATATCAGAAAGGACTGCCAATACTGGAAAAAAACCTTTCCTTAAATTATTCGCTCTTGCTACTTTACTGAAGAAAGTGCTTATTGATACAGAACAACTGCAACCTCATTTCCTCATTTCTAATGCGTGAATATATTTATAGTGTTTACAATCAAAGATGCAACATTTCATAGTTTCATAGTTGTTAGGGGCTGGAAGGAGGAGGGACCTTACAGATCATCGGGTCCAGCCCCTCTGCACTTGGGCAGGAAAGATTGCTGGGTTCAAATGATCCCAGCAAGATGGGTATCAATACGTTTTTTGAAGGTTGTCAGGGTGGATGACTAGTAGTTTTAAAACACCTTGATTGAGGACCCTTGCCCTAGAATGTAATCGTTGACTTCACTATGAAAAATATGAAGAAAATATATTTGTCCATACACTGAGCTCTCTTAAGTTGTGGGATAGCTCAGTTCCCAAGTAGAGCTGTGTGCATAATTTAACTGAGTTGAAATTTTTGGGAAAAAATGCATTTTGAGTCAACCCAAAACAAAACAGAAAACCCCAGTGTTATCAGTGAAATGAAAAACAAATTGAATTTCCTTAAAGTGAAATTTCTGTTTGACTTGGAAGCAAAATGTTTCATTTTGAGGTTTTTTCTCCCACCTTTTTCAATTAAATTTAGCCATGCTGGTTCAAAATCAGTGTTTGGAAATGAAAAATCAAAATACCTCATTTTGAAAATATCAATAGAAAGCTTTCTGGCTTCACCAAGATTCCCCCCACCACCACTACCACCATTTTTTTCAGATGAAATTATTAGGTCTGTTCAACGCACATTTTCATCGACCAGAAATTGCACTTTATTCATGGAAAAGCTTTTGATATGAAAAATTTCACCCAGCTCTTCTCCCAAGCCACCTGTGATTATAATACAGGGTTGAATCATTCATGGGCAGAGTTGTTTAATAGATGACATCATAAGTCTTTTCTATCTTTGTTGTCTATGATTTGTGAAAGACAGGTATTTTATTAGTGTGAAGAGGCAGGTGTTTATTGGTAGCAATGCCAGAATATCCTTACTTTTATTTCTTTCCTTTCATGATGTCTGGAAAATGCTGAACAATGAATAAGAATGTATATGTAAAGAATGGGAAATCAGTGTTAAGAGATGCAGAATGAAATTTAGATAGATGTGACAGCATTAATAAAAATTTTACACTTTAGGCTCCAGAGAGAACAGGCAAAGTATGCACCCGGTAATGTGTTATATTGTCTGCTTGTGTTTTAGATATTTGAATGGTGGTACTTTCGCAAGTATGGGACATCCTTCATTGAGCAGGTCTCCGTGAGTCACTTGCGCCCTCTGCTGGGTGGGGTGGACAATAACTCTCCCAACAACTCTAACACGAGCAACGGGGACTCTGATTCAAACCGACAAAGTGTTTCAGGTAAGATGATTTCTTTTGTTTGCTGCAAAGTTAGCTGTGAACGTCACTTTTCTTCCCCCTCTTTTAACTGAAAAGAATACTAGCTTTCTATTAAATTTCCACTATAGTAAAATGATAAAATATAACCTCTACCTATCCTGAACACAGTGCAATACAGTACTCTGCTTAATCGTTCATTCTTAACCATTACTTTAAGCTTTTATTGATCTAGATTCAGTGTACTGAGAAATTAAGATGTGAATCAGTCAAAAAGCAAGTCAGCCAAGTAGCAAGTACAAGTAGCCAAGACAAGTAGTATTAAGATCCACAGCATGTAAGAACATTTTTAATTTTTTTATCATTAAATTGAATAAAACTGCCTGAAATAATGTGGAAATTATTACTGTCCAGTTTTATGGTTTAAAATTTGGGTATCTTGAGATCAGATAGTAGAAAGGAAAGTGAAATCAATCATATATCTGAGGAGAAGATAATATCTTAGCCCGGGGTACTGGCATGTGTATCAGAGTGTGAAACACGAGGGCATTTTGTTTGGCATGCGTGCCTCAGGGCATATGATGGGGAAGGGGCTGAAGCTGTGCTGCCTTAACAAGGATCGGGCCGCTCATGGCTCCCCTGCCATCCAGCCCTGGCACTCCCAACATCTTACAAATCGAGGTTGCCAGTGTTTTTGGCATTCTGCCCAAAAATGTTGCTGACCCTTGTCTTAGACCATTACCAATTAAGGGACCTAATTCTGAAAAGAACTGAAATCAATTAAACTCTCTGTGGTTGCATCTACGTGTGGGCTTAACTGTGGAGTAGACTAATTTGCTGCAGTGTAAAGCATCACAGTCTACATGTGCAATGCTATTAGACTGCAGCAAACTAATTTTCACTGCCATAAGACAGTGCTGTCAGGGACAGTACTATCTTATGGCAGCAAAAATAACTGCTTCCAAAGGTGTGTGTAAACATTGACCCAGGTGTAAATTGAATTGCACCCAGGCAGCAGGGGCCAGACCCCTGCCTGCTGGCAAACCACCACTGTTTGGGCACTCTCATGCCCCAGCCAGCCTCTCTGCTGCCTGACACTGCCTCAGAGCCCAGGATTGGCCACCCAAGCCTGCTGCCAACTCAGGGCTGCTCCGCCCTGGCTCAAACTGCTGCAGTCCTGGGCGCACGTTTATACATTGTGCCCAGGAGCTCTTAACTCTGGTGCGAACTGCTCCGGAGTTTATCATGCCACACTAATTGAAAGCGTAGATCGACCCTGTAACTATTACACTAGCTCTGTGAAATTAGGCGTGCGCCTTAAGTTTTTCCAGGATCAAGGCCTACTGGTATGGTACCTAAAAGGCAAATTGAAACTAGGCCTGAATTAGATGTACACGCATGCACACACATATGCACACACACACTCACTCACACCCCTGGCATTACCTCCCTGTGTTTCCCTGGTAGGTCTGGAGGGATAAACAAAATGTTTATACCTGCGATCCTGGGCTCCTTCTGTACCAGCAATAAGGCATGATGGGATCTTATACTGAATCCCATAATTGCATCACCTGCTATATATGTGTAGCATGGCAGGATGCACAACTGTGTGAATCATAAGTTAGATTCCATTGTGCCTTTACCTGCACATGTAGAGGGGCCCTAATATCCTTGTCTGCACATTGACAGCCAAGATTCAGCAGGAGAGGTGGAGCATACTCTGCTGTATGCTTTACCCTCCCAACTGAGCCTTACAGCTTTGTAAGGCTCCAACCTCCTCAGAAGCTGGAGATGTGGCTCTGAATCCCTGTAAGCTGAAGAGGGCTTAGAACCCAGGTCTCCTGCTTCCTAGGCAAGTCCTTTAACTGTTAGGCTATTATAAAATGGTGGCCTTTATGGCTATCCTTTTCCTCTCCCACTGCACCATCATGTTTTGAATGGAAGTAGCTGTGGCTCCTGTGTTTGGTATGTGTTATGTTTGCTCTTAGTTATCTACAGTACTGAGTTCTTAAAGGACTTAGGTTTGTAAATTTTGAATGGTCTTAAGATGGAGAAGTGCTAAGATACTCAGCTAAGATGCAAACGGTTCTGGGCATATGCATTGTTAGGACTTCAGGGATGTAACCGAGGATTTGCCAGAAACTTCAGACACCTACAGCCGCTTAAGCACAAAGCAATTAGACAGTGGGTTTGTGGATCAGTTACTTGGACTTACATGTATGACCTAGTTTGTACTTCAGGCACCAAAGGGTTTTTGTTTTGTTTTGTTTTGGAACTGGCTCAGAAGTATTTGATGTAATTAATCGTGCCTTCCTAAAACACAGACAGTGGGATTACTTGGATTGTGTTTGCATAAATCAATGCCAGATATTTTCACCCATATTTCAGAAGCCTCTGATAAATTGTACAAATCTTTTCTACGTCATTTCAAAGAATAAGCAATTAGTTTTTATTTTCCTTTAAACAACTGCTTAGTGCAAAGAGTAAACTCTCAAATCACTGGAAGATCTGAAGAATATCTATCTGCCTTTGCATTATATTAGTTTAGCTTAAAGTAAGCAGTTCTGAGTTATTGTTTGATTCTGATGCAAGTGCTGTGGTTTGTTACAGCTTAGGCCTAAGCCTTAGGGGTTCATTTTGTTCTTGACTCTGGCACTAATTTGATTTGTGTTTTATATCAAGCCAGGCTTCAAGAGACCCTTGTTTAGCAGTGCCTAATTTGAGATATTTTGGGCCTGTTTTTCTTTTTTTTGCTGGGCACCCACAGTCACCATTAACTTCTGTAGGAGCCAGATCTTTGGTGTACACATCTCTGTGCATCTAAAAAAGTAAAGTCCTCCAATGTTGCTCATATCTAATAATACAGCAACTCTGTATATACCTGCCATGTGTGAAATGCTTTGAAATACTTGCATGAAAGGCGCATGCGCATATTGTGATTATTAATTTTCAGGCATAAAAGTGTATTTATTTATTTTTGTTCTCAAATAAAGACTATGGTTATATATAGGCATTCATTTCCACCAAAACTTCCATCACCAGAAATGATTCTGGGAGAAGGAGCCATCCAGGTATTCAGCATGAAACCACCTCTTCTCCCCTCTTCCTTGCCCTTCCCATGACTAGGGTGATCCTGGCCTGGGGAAAGTGTGAGGAGCAGCAGCTGCTGCAGTTCTCCTGTTCCCAGGAACACTGGAGTAGCACAGCAACTGCTTCCCCACCACCACCCTGGGTCCAGTGGGACTCTGGTGTGAGGAGTGGGCAGGGGCTTGCAGCACTGCTTGCTTGGCGCGGCTCCTGGTGCCTGGGAACTGAGCAGACTGAGCAGCAAGGCAAAGCACCCCTCCACTTCTTGCACTATGGACCCCAATGTGAGGAGCTGGGAGCCATTCCCTCCCAGTCTTCTGGAGGGGTGGGAGCAGCTGCTTCCCATACCTTGTCCAGACCAGGGTGACCTCGGTCTCCAGAAAACACTCAGGAACCTTTCCCCACCACTGAATACCTCCTGGTTCTAGGAGGAATCAAACGGTGAAGAAGTGTACAGGCATTCGTTCTCCCAGATAAACTCTCCCAGGAGCAACTTCTACCAAGTGGGAGATGGGTTACTTTTCTCCCAGAACAGCCATTTTTGTTCTGGGAGAAACAGTATGAACATCTGTAAACTTGTCCTTTCTACTGGGAGAGCTGCGATTCTCCCAGTAGAAATATACGGGTTGTATGTGGCCTATGGGCATGGACAGACGGAATATTTGTTGTGTTCTGAATGCCTTTCAAGAGCTCTAAAAATGAGCAACACAAAGCAATAAAGTGCTATAAATCAGCCTGAATTGCTTTAAATTTGACCCCAGATGAAACCACCTTGATGTACTTGATAATAAGTTTATACCCTCTGTTATCAGGAATCATCACAGTGTATACACATGTATATCAGGTATCAGAAAAGAAATGAGCACTATAGTGAGGAAAAGAAGGTTTGTGAGCAGAATGAGAGTCCTGTTATAGCACTATCATAGATTTAAATCACTTAGGGTTTGATTTTTGGGAGGTTCTGAACTTCTTAAGATACCTTGTCTCCAGATGGACATGTGAGTACACAACATTTCTGAAAATCAAGGCTACAAGGAACAATGGTCATAAGCTGATGGAGAATAGGTTTAGGCTGGAGATCAGAAGGCAGTATTTTACAGTTAGGGTGGCCAAAATCTGGAACCAACTTCCCAGGGAAGTGGTCCTCACCCCTACCTTGGGCATATTCAAGAGGAGGTTGGATGATCACCTGTCTGGGGTCTTGTGAACCCAGCATTCATTCCTGTCTGTGGCAGGGAGTCAAGCTAGATGATCTGTTCAGGTCCCTCCTGACCCTAGCTACTATGAAACTGTAGAGGAATTGGATTTTGCAGGGACAAAAATACTGAGGTTAATGCTCCCCAGACTCAATGAAATACTTCACATCTCTAAATGATGTTATATCTTTATTTAGATAAGCGTGAAGCTTTTCAAGAAGTGTAGATATTTTTTAAGAAAGCAGCAGTCATTTACATTTATAGAGCTGTTTTGGCTCTGCTTTGCTGTTCAACTTTGTATTTTAGTACTAGAAACCTGTTTAACTCTCACTGGGATTGTTGTGCCTGTTTCAATTGTGATTGAATTATTTGTCTCCTGTAAGCTATAAAAATGTATCAAAACTAAAGAAATGAGGAAAATGTGAAAATAAACAAACTGAATAACTGAGGAGGGGCGTGTGTTTGGAGCCTGGTACATTAACTGGGTCAGTAACTTCCATCATGTTTCTTGTTAATTTTTTATAAAGCACATATTTCATCCCTGTTCATCAAAAACTGTTTAGTTCACAAGTAAATGAGTTTCATGGCCTCAGCAATCTTGCTTTCCACCAGATCAGTGTGTGTCAACTAGTGCACTTTGGGGTGCTGTGAAATCCTTTTAAGGGTGTGGGAGGGTATGCAATATTAACCGTATTACATGTGGAAAAACCTACATGATTCACAAGCTAAACCCAGAGATTTACAATAGGAATCCATAGGGTCAAAAATATTCTGACCACATTCTATTGAACTCCTCTTGAGTCCAGCAGAATTGCTCTATTATATTTCTGTAGTCAAGAAATGGGTGACAGTTATGACCTGGTATTTTCCAAGGTATGCCTTGGATCAAAAACAGTTGAAAACTGAAGCACTAAATGTTGTATACAGTATGAGGTCTTCAAGTAGCAGAGCAAACTGGCTGCTGACCTTCCCATCTGAGGAGAGTGAAAAGACTTGAATAGCTGCAGTATGTTGTGCCATGCATAAAGTGCAGCTTATCGGGGTACATGGGAAAACTATTGACGTACCTGCCTGTATGCATCAGTACTTTCAATCTCAGTTCAGTTCTGAAGGATATACTTCATTTTAAAACAGTAAACGGTATTTTGACTAAAGAGACACATTCTGGCTCAGAGTTTTGCTGTTAGGAAACAGCTGGAGGAACTCTTGATTTTCAGTGTATATCATAGATCCTGAAAATTGTTTTAAAAAGCCGTTCTACAAGAGAACCAAAAGGACTTCCAAAAAAAGCTGGGGAGAGTATAATGAGGGGGGCACAGTTGATTAGGGAGGGAGCACACAGCTAGTTATTAGAAATATGGCTTTTATTGGCCAAATAGTGCAAGGGATCTCACTGGTTCAAAAAGTGCAAACAAAAGGTGAAAAAAGGGGCAGTAGAGTTCTGACCATATACCAAAATGGCCATTTAAAGCAATGAGTATGGCAAGAAGTGATCAATAGTACAGGGATGGATGGGCAAGTGGGGCAGGAGCCCTGGGTGCTGCCTACTGGAGGAGGGTGCTGGAATAGAATCAGGGATGCCTTCCCTTCTTCCCATGCCCTGCTTCCCTTGCCCTTCTGGGTCCAGCCTGGGAAGGAAGCAGCAGGAGCAGCTTCTGTGTTAGTCAGTGAAGAGCACTCTGAGAAATGTAGCCGTGTGGAATGGCAGAGGCCGCTGCTGCTGGGGAGAGATGTCATCCTGTTGTGTTGATGCTGAAAATAGGATTTTTTTGGGTGGTCAACATGGGCATCAGCTGTAAAAACATGAGGTGACATCTCCCCTCAACAGCAGAGAACTTCAGCTGCTGCTCCTGGACACTGCATGCTACTGGAGCCTGAGAAGGTAGAGAGAGGGAGGAGGAGGGGGACTGCCCCATGTGCAGTCCTGGTCAGTTTTGCCTCTGGGAGTGATGCAGCATGGGATACCTGGAGGAATAACCAAACCTGTATCATGGAATATTTGATGTCCACACAAGACATTGACCTGGTTCACAGTGAGCTGTTCCAAAAGAAGGCTTGATTTTTCAGGAACAATTTTTAACCATTCCAGGCATCTTTAAACCAGTTTATAGTGCACCTGTCCGCTTCAGGTTTAAACTGCATTTAAACCAGTCTAAATGGTACATGTTTCTATACCTTAACACACCTTTTTCCCTTTCTTATATCCCCAGTTGAGTGCGTTGGCTTCTTGTGTACTCAAGGATCAATCCTCATAACTTTAAATCTAGATGATAAAGCAAAAAGAATGACATCACAGTCATCAAGTCAGTGGGCATGTCTCTACACGGGCAGTTAATTCAAAACTGTAAACTCTGGCACATATTGCCAGAGAAGCCTTGGCTGCCAGGAGGCCCAGGGGGTTAGCCTGTTAGCCCATGGTTGCTCTGACCCAGATCAACATGTTTCAGCAGGGTTGGCTGGGGCATGAGTGTGTTTTAGTGCAGGTTTAGCTGGCAGACATCCCCTGCATTGAAGCACCCTCGCTCCAACCTAGCTCAGCATGTTGCGGACAAGCTGTCCGGTGCATTGAAACACCAGCCAGCCCTATCAGTGTCTAAACATGCATTGCTGTGCAGTAAATAACTCCGCAGTAGGATAGTACTTGTATTTACAAGTACTTTCCTATGGTAGAGTTTATTAGTTTACTGCAGCCTAATACGGCTGCATGTATAGAAGCAGAGACTTTATTGTGGTACTAATTAGGTAGCTCCTCAGTAAACGTCTTGTGTAGGTGCGCCCACTGTTAACTATTTCTGTTTGCAGTCAGAATAACCAGAACATTTAATTACACATCTGACATTAGCTCATTGCTATCATCATTTAGACATAAAATAAAATAGGTCATAAGTCCTAATGGTCTTCAGGGTACCATGGCTAAGACACATGAGTTCCTGTAATCCATGCTCCCAACAGAATGATGTAGTTGGTGTTGTGTCTGGCTGCCCTTGATTACCCAGTCCATTTCCAACTGGCTGGACTGGATGTAACCTTCAGCATGAGGGCAGAGCAAGGCTTGAATTCATGCTTCACAGATATGCTGTAAATGCTTTGCTGTGTCACTTTGTACATGGATATGGAAGCATTTATTTGTTCATGGTGTTGTTTTCATTGCGGCAAGGTGCAGTATTTTGGTACTAGAATATAATACTGAGATCAATTAATTTTTTTTTCAAAAAGAGAAATTGTTTTTTGTACCTTCCAGTGCATTTATGTTTACTTTCTTTTTTTCCAAGAGAAAGTTTACTTTCTTTTTTTCCTTGTTCACCTGACTTTCCTTAGAAGTCCAGATGTGTTGGATTTCAGCTATTTTAAATAAAGCAGAAATCCACTACTCCATAACCATATTCATATCTGAGTGCTTCTGCTATTATTTGTCACACCTCACTTGGGCTCTGGGCCAAGGAAGATCTCTCTGAATCTTAAAGAAAGGACACCAGCAAGGAAACAAGTAAAGACTTAATATCATCTTGCTGCTTTGAGGGGCCCACTTCCCTGATCTGGAAGAGGTCAACATTAGGGATGTGAAAGTTAAACTATTAATCATTTAATCAATAAGCCCAGTGGTAATCAGTTAGCTTACCAGTTACTGTTTAATGCGGTGCGGGGAGCAGTCTGGAAGGTGGGGAGGGGAAACCACATAGTGTCTCAGGAGGAATGGGAAGGTGGCAGGGCATGTGGGGGGGGAGGGGGAAGGAAGGGGGATCTAGTACCCATAGCCTATGAGTTTAAAGAGGAAAACAGCAGGTGGCCTAATGACTTGATATTTACATCCTTAGTCAGCACAGAATTTGATGCGGAGAATTCTTTACCTATGGTTTTTTCCTTACCAAACTTGTTATTCTTGCCATAACAAGTCATAAAATGCCTTCTTTGTGCTATCTAATGTATGAACTGATCCTCCGAGAACCTACTACTCCCTGTGATGTGTTCACACATAGCCACATGAGAAAATTTTTCTCCCTGCCCTTCTACCCCCCACCTGATAAGCCTGTAATATAGCAGAGGCGGAAAGACTTGCTCATGAAAAAAGAGCACTGCTTAACTCCCATTCTGTATATTATATATACTTCTTACTGTGACATGATGAGTGTCATGGGACTGTATTAATCCTCAGGTCTATGTTATAAGGTGTCTAAATTAGGTATGTTGTTGACTTATCATCCCACTGTAGTTTTTTTCAGTGATATCTTGCTGAATGATATATTGTCTTTGAAACTCCCTTGCAGAAAATTTCCAGGTTAACATTTTCTAATGGAAAGTAGCCTGACCAAATGTCTGAGACACCACACTGCTGTTAAAATGAAGTATGATGAATTATTTCAGTGACTCACATATCATTTTGTACAATGAAAGGTAGCAAAGCAACTTGCTACCATCCCTGAATCTTTGGTTATAAATGTTGAAAATGACACCAGCATCAAGCCCATTATATAAATCAGGAATAACTTCACTGTAGTCAAGGGAATTATTCTGGTGTAAAACGTGTGTGAGTGAAATCAGAATCCGGCTTTTGTATGTGGAGATTTTAGGAATTCATTTTACAAATCCTGTAAACTCTGATCTAAATTAAGTTATTGTTATACATTTTCTGGTATGCCCCTTTCCTGTGAGATGGATTTGGATATGGGTGGACAGAAATTTTCTTTTAATTTTATTTTTATAAGAGGACCAAGCTGTATGAAACTTTTTTCAAGCTCCCAAGCCTTTGACGCTAGCTTTCCTCTGCCAATAATCCTAGCATCCCTTCTCAGTCCTGGGGCGATTGGTGCCCATGGTTTTTTTTCCTCCTTCAGAAACTGAGGAGGAATTGAAACAGGCAAGTGTAGTCAAGAATCTTACAATATTAACAAGACAGTGAAGTTTTCTTGTAGAAAGAACAAAGCTACAAGACCAAGTGAATTCTAGGTTTTTCAACACACTAATCCCAGATCTGATCCCACTCACTCCACATTATGGTAAAAGTGAATCCTGGCACTAGTCAGAATTATCTTTTTAATTTGACACTTAGAGCTTCCTTAAGAGTCTGTTTTGTATGATATCATTTGTTAACAATAAATTATAATGAAATTATTGTTTGAAAGGGATAAGAGGCAGAAAATCAAGCTGCAGATAAATTGACCTATTGATTGAAAAATCAAAAATTGACCTTTTGATTTTTATGTTTGGATTCATGGGAAATAAAAGCTGACTTGTTATAGAATAATTGATGTGTCTGCTAAAGTTAAACATTCAGTTGTAATTTTGCTACAATTTATTAATATGTGTTTTTGCTTATCATTGTGACAGAATGCAAAGTCTGGCGAAATCCATTAAACCTTTTCAGAGGAGCTGAGTATAACCGGTGGGTGTTTTTCCATGCAGATATAGTATTAAATTAGGAACTGCACCTTCATTTGTTCAGTAAGATTTGTGGTGAGCTGCACAGAGATACCATAGAAAATAACTTTTGAAGCTAAAGGCAGACATTAGATTCTCCTCCCCTGCCCACCACAAAGCCTTTTATTCTTGTATCTTACGAACTTACAAGCTCATTGGCCCACTTTAAGCACCTGTAAAGTACCAAGATAACCTCCCTGCCAAATCAGGACTAAATAGAGTTAATTGCCATTCAAGCTACATGTGTAAACAGGTGTGCTGCACCTGTTTTGATGCAAGTCATGCCTGGGACAGTCAGACCCTGGATAATACCAGGATTTGTTTTTAGCCTGAATGGAATGTAGTTATGCCCCAAGTTTTCAACCTGCATTATCTATTTTCTAAATGTTTATGAATGGGAAGGAATTTAAATCCATTTTCATGAGTTCATTTACATTGTTAGAGCAGCTACAAGTTTTTAACATATCCGATATTTCTTAACAGCAAGTTCAAATTGATTGTAGCTGAGTACCTAGTCATGTAGGGTTTTTCCAATACGAGTATGTACTTTTCTGATTGGTTCTTTTCACAATACCAGTTAACCTATGTATAATCTCCTAGTATTTTGAAGATATTATAGTAACGGTAATGTAATGTTGGGAGCAATTATACATTAATTGCGAGTGGGTTTAGATGAGCTAGTAGGTCGATTCCATGTCTAACTTCCAGCATTCTCCTTTTTCTGTAAATGTATCATTTCATCTAATTTATTGGTACTTTGCAGGTATACATGGGTGACAGGAAGAGAACCTTTGACTTACTATGATATGAATCTTTCAGCACAGGATCATCAAACGTTCTTTACATGTGACACGGATCACTTACGACCTGCAGATGCCAGTAAGCAAATGAACTCCTGCCAGGAGGGTAATGGAAGTTTTAGACTTGGGTTCACAATGACATTTGTCCCACATGATCAGCAGTCTGAGGCCTCTGGCACACATTACTGTTATGGTATGATTAAGGTGTTAATTGTGCCATAAATAGTCATTGTTCTACACATACAGCAAATTCATGGCAGCATAAAGTGGCAAACCAGCCATAAAGATAGGCCACAAAATATGCTGAACATTTTTGTAGCTCATTTGTATGGTGCCATAAACCCAGGACTGAGGCCAGTAGTCAGGTAATTGTTAGTCCTGGGTCTGCAACTTGCCCCAAGGCTGTCCAGGGCTGGGGAAACAAACAGCTGATTGCCCTACGTCTATGGGGCTGAGGGCCAATAATCAGCTGATTGTCAGCCCTGGGCCTGGGTCTTGAACTGGACACAGGGCTGTCCCAGGTCTGGAACCACCTCTGGGCTGCTGGCAGCCTTGGGTCAGGGACACAGCTGCCTCCTCTCCAGTTTCAGCTGGGGGAAGTTCTGCAGTGGTATGAGCTTAGGATGGACCATAAACTTTCTCTGATCCTAACCACATCATTGTTTTAATATCTCCCAGGAGCCTGAGATTAATCAACAAAGTCAAATATATGATCACACCTCAGTGGTTCACCCTATGGGTAAAATAGGGACTAGGTGAGTTAGATTATCAGGGTTTGCAATTTTCACAAGGAACTATTTAGTTATGAGGAATGTATGGCTTGAGAAAAAAATTGCTGTATTTTGTATTTTTCACTAAAGCCATTCAAAAGGAGCTCAAGCGTCCCTACTTCCTGCAGTGGGTTCTGACACACACAGCAGTAATACAAGTTCATTTATTAACTGATACATTGTGGCAAGTTCATAGAATCATCAGAAAGTAGGGCTGGAAGGATCCTTGCATCTAGTCCAGCTCCCTGCTCAAGGCAGGATCATCCCTGACTAAACCACCTTAGCCAAGTGCCTGTCCAACCTGCTCTTGAAAATTGACAGAGATGGAGATACCACAGCCTGTCTAGTCAAGCATTTTTTCCATTGCTTGACTGTCTTCATAGTCAGAAAGTTCCTCCTAATCTCCAACCTAAATTTCCCCAGCTGCAGTTTGAGACCATTGCTCCTAGCCTTGTCTCCTGTGACCACAGAGAAAAGCCCATCACCATCCTCTTTATAGTGCCTTTCAAATCAACCCTCAGTCTTCTCTTCTCCTAATTAAATAACCCAGTTCTTTCAGCCTTTCCTCATAAATCATACTTTCCAGTTCCCTAATGATTTTTGTTGCTGTCCATATCCCTAATGATTTTTGTTCTGTCCATATCCTTCTTGAAATATGGGACCCAAAACTGGACACAGTGCTCCTGGTAAGGCCTCACTAATGCTTAATAGAGTAGAAGAATCATCTCCCCTGATTTGCAAGTAACACTCCTGTTAATACAAGCCAGGGTGCTATTGGCTTTTTTTGCAACAAGAGCACACTCTTGGCTCATATGCAGTTTATGATCTACTGTAACCCCCAGGTCCTCCTCTACAATACTGCACCCTAGCCAGTCATTCCCCAGACTGTATCTGTGCAACCAGTTATTCCATCCCATGTGCAGGATTTTATTTTTGTTCTTGTTGAATTTCATGATTGATCTTAGACCATTTCTCTAAACTATCCAGGTCATTCTGGATCCTAGCCCTTTGCTCCAGAATGTCTGCAACTCCGCTTACTTGGTGTTATCTGGAGATTTGCTAAGTGTATACTCAGTCCTGTTGTCCAGATCTCTGATGGAGATGTTAAAAAATAGTGGACATAGGACAAACCTCCTATGCTGAGGAACCACCCTCCCCTGAACTAGGCATTGAGCCATTGATGACTACTCATTGAGCACAATGATCCAACCATTTATGTATCCACATGACAGTGCTTTCATCTTGTCTGTATTTCCTTAACTTATTAGGGATAATGTCATAAGAGACATGGTTAGAAGCCTGCTAATGTCAAGATAGATCATATCCACTGCTCTCCCCCCATCCACATAACCTATTACCTTATTGTAGAAGGAAATCAAGTTGGTCAGGCATGACTTTCTTTGTGTGAATTCATGCTGGATGTTCCTGATCACCTTGTTTTCTCCAGGTACTTTGAAATAAATTACTTGAGAACCATGATCTTTTCAGGTATGGAGATCAGATTGACTGCTCTGTAATTCTCAGGATTTTCCTTCTTCCCTTTCTTAAATATGGGTGCTGTATCTGCCCTTTGCCAATATAGGATCTCACCCAACCTCCATGTGTTCTCAAAGAAGATAGCCAGTAGTTCTGAAATTACCTCATTCAGTTTCTTCAGTATCCCCACTGATTTGAAAGCATTTAGCTCCTCTAAATAATCCCTTACCTGTTCTTCTACTACTCTAGGCTGTTTGTCTCTGTCCCAGTCTTTGCTGCTAAATGCACTTATCATCTGGTAGCTTCCCCTGTTTGTGAAGACTGAAGTAAAAAAGGCTTTAAATACTTCAGTCTTCTCTGCATCACCCATAATTAGATTGCCTTCTACATTCTGTAAGGGACATATAGTTTCTTAGCTCTTTCTCTTCTGAAATATTTGTAGAATCCTTTTTTATTGCCTTCTATGTCCCTTGCCAATTGCATCTCAGATTGTGCCTTGGCTTTCCCAATTTTTTCCGTGCATGCGATGCGATTGTACATGCTCAGGATCCCATATGGCTTTCACTTTATATGAACCTATAACCATGTAACTGAAGTAAAAAAAGTGAACACTTCTTTGGTTCACTGAAAATCAAACTTTAGGGAAACACAGAAGCTGAAAATTTATAACAAGCTTTGGTATAAGATATTAGCTGTATTAAATATTTCTTGGTTAATGCATTCAATAATATATTGCATCCATGTAACATCTCGGATAATACTCGCTTGAAGCAGTGGCAAGGGAGTTAGTACAGGTAATTGATCCCTCTCCCCTAGTATTTTTCTAAGCATTAGGGATCCTACCTTGCAAGGAAAAAAGAGTCCTTGTGTTTTCTCCCTCCCATTGTTACAGCTGTGTAGCTCAGTTCATGAACAACTCTTGGCTAGATTTATTGGTGAAAAAAGGTTTAATTAAATGAAAGAATAAACATGGGGATTGAGGAGAGCAACATAATAAATTGATTATGTGTCTTCTGAGTGACTGTCTGAATTTCCTGGTTTGTGAAATGTTCCACAGTGAGTCCAACTGAAAGCAATTTATCTAGTTATTGTTGTGCAGTTAATTCTCCTTGTTCATTCTGTAATGATATGCCTCTATTTGCTTTGTTTTATTACATAGTTATGCAGAAAGCGTGGAGAGAGAGAAACCCCCAAGCCAGAATTTCTGCAGCACATGAAGCCTTGGAATTGAATGAGTGAGTGATACCAACATTGGAATTATTTCCTGATATTTAACAGTCAATTGGATAATAGTTTAGGACAGTAATTTTTGCCACAGAAATATTTATTCATAATAATAGAACTGTCAAAGAAAGACCTGATGCTGGCAGGAAAGACAGAACTGTATACTGTAGTTGTAGTAGACACTTATCAATATATATCGATACTACTGTAGGTTGAAAACTCCCTGATGGTTTTCCTAAAACCTAGTCATATTCTCCTTTATTTTTTAGGTGCAGTATAGGCCCTTTGGCCTTTGCTCTGAAGGCTGTTTCACTGTTAATCTTCCCATTGATTCAGTGGTCCGTAAATTAGTTCCTACTTTAGCCTGGTTAAATGAGTTTCCAGGCTAGTGCAGTCTGTTTGAGGGCAAAGGGGAGTAGGGAATAGGGAGGTACACACAGTGATACCCTGTTGGATTCCTAAGCAATGACTGTCTTCAACCTGTGCGTTGTGGCTTGTGTCTGACTGACATGCTGAGCTATGGATTTCACTTTTCAGTCTATTGTTAATGGTATTTCCTCTACTTTCTCTTAGCTATGGTTCTTTCTCATTTTTTTTCTAACTGACTATTGAATGAATGTAAAATACTTTTAAGTGCTTGGGAGTCTATGGCTATATCCTGTATTTCTTTTTCTTGTGGGAATTGCTCTTTTTGTTTTCCTTCAATATAGTAACATTTAATTTAATGTCAAGGATATCTGAAAGAAAATGCTAACAGTAACAACACTGGAAGTTCTCATGTCTATTTACTTGTTATTGTGAGGCCAGAGTTGAGACCATCTAGTATGGTACCTTCTTTCATGAATGGCTTCCCTAGCTTCAGTGAAACAACTCTAGTAGTATAACTCTACTCTCGATAAATAAGGAGGTGGACTCTGACGACTAATGTTAGAGGTGTACCAATACATTGGTCCCATATTGTATTGGCACCGATAAAAAGGAAAATTGACATTATCGGCAATCAGCTTTTTTTGACTGATGTGGCTGATAATGTCACCAATAAATGCTGCATGCACATGCGCAGCCACAGTGCAGCACACAGGCGGCCAGAAGCACAGCCCGGCAGCATGGAGAGTAGCAAGTGGCTGGTAAGTCTGTTGTGGTGCAAGGAGCAGGGGGCAGACTAAGGCCGCTGCAGTGAGGGCAGGAGTGGGGCTGGTTCTGGGGCTGGGGTAGGCACTTCATAGCTGGGACATGGTGGAGCATGGGACAGAGCCATGGGCGGCTCATCTGGGGGATATGGGGAGGGGAGGCAGCTTCTGCCACTGCATGCACCCCAGGAGGGCATGAGGGGCATGTACCCCCCGGATCTGTGCATGGGGTGAGGGTGGGCTGCTGCTACGGACTTGGGCTGGGGACAGTGCCTGGCTCTTCTCAGTGTGGGGGTTGGCCTGGGGCTGTGCTTGGGGCAGATGGCAGAGGTGCTGGGAGGGCGGCTGCAGGGTGGGCCGCAGCCACCACAACATTTTCCATAGTCCCCCTGTAGCAGTGCTGCCTCCACCCACCCCGCGTGCAGCCTGGCTCAGTCCCCCCTCCGGGAAAAGGCTGGCACCACCTCTGACACTAGCCCACAGTGGCAGCCCACCCTTGCCCTGCACACAGATCTGGGGGGCACACACCCTTCATGCTTTCCTGGGGTGTATGCAATGGTGGGAGCTGCCTCATACCCTGGATGAGCCGTGGCTTCGTCCCACACCCTGCCCCACCCCAGCTGTGCAGCACCTGCCCCTGCCCTGTTGCCATCCCCGCTCCCTCCCTCGCTGCAGGAGCCTCAATCTGCCCCCCATGCTCCTTCCTCCCACCTTGCCCCTTCCCCCACAACAGGCTTATCAACCGGACGCTGCCTGGCTGCATATCGGCAATTGGATTGATATGGCGCATTAAAAATCAGTCATCAATATTGGCCCAAAAAAATCTCTATCAGTGCACCCCTAACTAATGTATTTACTTTATGCAGCTTTATCAAGAACAAGACACAATCTCTTATTCATCTGATATGCCCTTGTGTGTCTGGATTGCTTTGTGTTTGATAATGACAAATTGAATTCATTTTCTCATGGTTTTTTGTTTTTTGTTGGTGATCTCATTGACAGGTGTGCCACTGCTTACATTCTCTTGGCTGAAGAAGAAGCAACAACTATTGTGGAAGCAGAGAAGCTGTTTAAGCAGGCTTTGAAAGCAGGAGAAGGCTGTTACAGACGTAGTCAGCAATTACAGCACCATGGAGCTCAGTATGAAGCTCAACACAGTAAGAGCATTTCTTCAGTCCACCTGGAAGCCTTCTCTTTAAACTAGACTTTTTTCCATTTCCTTGCACATTGTGTAGTTATTTACTCCTCTACAAAATGAAAGTAAACAAAATCCCTCACTTTGTACAGGTATAAATGACTATACTAGGTGCAAGGCAACAGAGAATCAGACCCACCGTCTTTCGTGGTAGATGGAATTTGATCCCGCAGGTTCTGACTCTTTATGTTTTATGTCTGTGTTTTTGCCTGCTGTTATCTCTACCTCGGCAGTGATAGGAGTAAAGTATGGTAAGTCATCATTAGTTGTCCCTTCTCAGAGTCACAGCAGGAAGTCAGCAACACTTGCAATGCTAGGATGATCACTAGGGCCTAAATTTTCAGAAGTGTTTAGTGAATTTAGTGTCTTGTGTAAAACACTTTACATATTTCCTGACGTTCAGGAAGTACAGGACAACCTTCCTTGGGAAAAGCAGTCCCCTTTAAGGTGTCTCAACTTGGGCATCCAAAATAGCTAGCAATTTTGAAGGGTTAGACTGATATTGTTGCTGGTTACTACGTGAGTAATAAAGCTGGGGTGTGGACAAGAAACTTTGTCTAGAAGGAATAAATGTTTGTGAGCAGTATCTATTTCTTATTCTGTGCATCAGCTGTAAGATTTGCTTCATGCCACCTGTAAAATAAACTTTGGATTTTAAAGCTATGTAGACCTGTTCACCAGGGTCATATTGATACTGTTAGAATAAATACAAGGCTGTTTCAGAAATTAATGGCAAAATGGCTGTCCACACTGTATATCTGCAGCAAAGTGGGAAACCTACGCAGCAGTGTGGAACAGTGATGGTAGTATTGTTGAACAAAGTCATAGTTTCATAGTAGCTAGGGTCAGGAGGGACCTGAACAGATCATCTAGCCTGACCCCCTGC